CATATGAAATCTTTTGTATTTATTTTTAAATTATAATGTACTAACCTAAAAAAAAAAAACTGCTATTTTCCTCTTATAGGTTACCAATAATATATATAAATGATAAAGCAAGCCTGAGGAGAGAATTACCTGACTTACTTTTTTGAAAGGCAAACCATTTCATGGCAAGTTACACAGATGATTTATTATGGACAAATAAAATAACTTATTTGACACATATATATGGAAATAATAGTTTTTCAAGTAATTTTTAAAAGGAGATAAATTCATATATATATTTGAATTATTAATAAGTACATCTATTTAAATATTTTCATGAGAGAAAAATGTAAGTGATATTATATTCTGATACTAATCTGATAATTAAATTCATCTTTGCTTTTGCATTCTGTTTTTTTAAGAAATTGCTTATGATAAAATCTACATTTTTAACTATAACAAAATGAGGACCCTGCACAGTTCACCCAATAGCCAATCATTCTTAGTAAAAGGAAAACAGCATCGGGACATCATGTTTAAAAATCAATCAAAGTGTCAACTGTTAAGTTTGAGTCTGAAAACCAGAAATGAAGACATTACTGTATTTGATATTTTTAGCACTATTTCATGCAGACCCAAACTGTTGCTATTACTACTTCATTTTAACATATATTTTCCAATATTGCCGTGTCAGCAAAGTGCCAGAGGACGTACTGCCTCTTTTTCTGCAAGAGTTGTGCACGGAATGCAAAGTGTTCTCAGTCTGGAGAATGAAAGCATGACTTTCTCTCATTCGCATAAATCAATTTATTTTACTGTTTTCTTTGGGTCAGCCTAAAACGACGGGCGATGAGAAGCACAAGGCTGTTTTTTTCCCCCTCCCATGTGCAGAGCCTTTCCACAAAAGGAAAACACTGAATGAAGAAATTTCCCTCTGAAAATGTAAAATCTCATGAACAATTTATCTACATTTAATAAATGTTTTCTATAGATTCCAATTTTTTTTGTAGTTCCCTATTGATTTTCTTTCACACTATTCTCTCTCTCTCTCTCTCTCTCTCTCTCTCTCTCTCTCTCTCTCACACACACACACACACACACACACACACACTCCTCAAACTGGTCATCCTAGAAGATGGTTATGAGAATTTCCAAATACTAAATCATCTTTTCTGAAAGCCATTGAAACAGAAGAGTTAACGATGAAAACTCGCAGTTATGTGTATGAAGTTCGCCCTGCAGTTCATTGATTCGAGGACAAAACATGATCCCCCTGTCCCCATTTATTCAAGGCTTCGTGCCCGCTGGCGATAGAGAGTCGGCTTCATCTGCTGTCATCTCTTTGGGGGGAACAAGGTGAGGTCCAGTCCCTCCACATCTGCTCTGTGCACTGTGTGGTCACTCAGTCCCTTGAGTACAAGAGAAATCCAGAGGCTGAGGAAAACCCAGCTAATAATAAAATTGTGTTTCCATGCTTCGTTTTTGCCTTTCTTTCCTGCTGCTTTCTATCAGCAGAGCACTTAACAATCACTAATTGGTTAATCTGTTATTTAGGCAAATTTTAATATTCTCATTTTGCAGACAAGGAATCAGGCTTCCTGCTGTGTATCTCCTGGCTCTGGGTAAGGAACTCTTCAGATGGGAGATTCAAAGTAGGTGAGCCCGTCCTCGGGAGGCCGCGCACTTGCCTGGGGCCGCGCAGCAGGGCCGCGCGGAGCCTCCGCCGGAGCGCAGGTTCCTGACTCCCACTTCTCCGCTCAGACCACCAGGCGACATCGCCTCTAATGACAAAACCCCCTTTTCCCATTCCACCCAACTAATGCTCCAAGGACTTTCTTAATTGCGACGGATACCCTGGGATTGAGAAGCTTATTTGTGACTTGATGAATCTGCACTAGTCTTGCCTGGGTTTCTAGGTTTTGTAGCACTAAAAACTTTAGAGTAACTTTGTACTTTCCAAAAAAAAAAAAAAAACCCTCAAGATATCCCTACCTACTGAACAGACACAAAGTATTGTCTACTGAGAAACTCGGTAATGGCTGATCTCAGAGAAGCTGATGCAAATGGAATTAAGAGGATGTGCTCACTGCCTGGCAGACCAATGACCATTTCCGACAAACGTGGAGATTTAATATTTTAGAGCAACATATGTACAACACACTAAGGGCCTTGCCATCTTGGGTCGTAGACCTGGATGAAAAAAACTAGCCAATCCATACCCACAGGAAACACTGTTTGTAACACATCTTCTATTTCAGACGCATGAAATCTGCCCTCGTTGGTGCAGAAATCATTCTTTTCCAAAAGCAGGGCCTTCCACAAAAATAAAAATTTAAAGATCATTTGCTGAAACTCAAATTGCTAGGGTTTTATTGTGAAAAAAAGAAAAGGTTACTATATGACCTATATTTCATATTAAAGTAAGGAGAGGCTTAGAAATCGCTCTTGTCACAAGTCTGTGCTAAAAGCAAAAGGAACTTAGATAACCCAATACCCTATTTAATTAAAACCCACCATAAAACTTTTGAGACTAAAGTTCAATTTAAAAGAGCAAAGCAAAATTTTATTCATTTTCTTTCATATATTTTGCGGTATGTAATTTGTAAATAAATTAAGCCCAGACACAGCTGCCTATTTCTTCCCATATCTGCATATTTAATCAAAATGTGGCATGCCCTTACAGGTAATTCTAAGTGGCCTAAGTCATTTCCTAGGTGTGGGTTCCCTCGATCACATTGTGGGCATTACTGGCAAGGATATTGTGCTGCTAATTATCAATCATGCAGCACACTTTGTCATTTAGAAATTCAACGCATTGAATAGATTTCCTTGAGTATCAACAACATGCCTAGGACAGAAATAGAGAATTCAATGGTAGAAATTAACTGAATCCTAGTAGTTGACTACTTATAAACCATCATTTCAAAAGTCTAATAGATGTTGTTTTAATCCAGAAAGTAAAGTCTACCTAGGTGCTGAAAGTTCTTTACAATGCATCATCTTCGGGAAAGATAATACGTGAATTTCATTCCTCACTGAGCTTGCAAAAGACCAATCCCTTCCAATTTCAGGTCTTATAGCTCGAAAGGTCAATAAAAGGCCTGGTGGTACCTGTTAGGGGTCAGGGGAGATATAAAACAGAGTAGGGAGATCGTTGAATAGCCAGACAGGAGGCTGAGAGAAAATCTGCCTAATCTTCAATAGGCTCTGGTATTATTTCGTGGTTCCTGCCTCCAGGAAACACAATCCAAGGCTGGAAACAAGTTCAGAAAGGATAAAGAATAAAATCTAGTACATGCGTTAAGTGTTAGAGAAGGTTGGTTCAAAATGGATTTCATAGGACAGAAGGCAAGTAGCGTAAACACGAACACGTGAGTGGGTAGTGTTCAGACTGCAGTCCCAGGAGTGAGCAGGATGGAGCATTGGCTGTGACCTGAAAGAGGGGGAAGCTGGCTCAGTATTTGCTGGAATATTATTTGGGCAGAGGCCCAGGTGCATTCTCACCGTGATGAAAACAGGCAGTGTGGGTCAGATGGGTCAATAATATCTATTGCCCCCACACTCAACCCAGCCAGAAGGGAGTTTGCTTTATTTTTAGAATAATGTTACTATTAGTACTTGGAAAAAAAAATGTTTACAAGTTAAATAAATTCATGCATGATCCATATTACTTTAAAATCTTTATTGTACTGTTTTTAAGTAAGCTAAAAGTCTTTCACAGATGTTATCTCATTAATCTGCCCCAAATCCCCATAAGGCAGGTAGTATAAACATTCAAAACCCAGTTTTACAGATAAGAATGGAGGCAGACTTGTGGGAAATGACTAAGCCAAGGTTCTGAAGCAAATGCGAGAGTCAGTGGTTCGAAGAGCCCTGTCGATTGCTCTGCTCCTGAGACCAGGCCCCGAGCCTCCCACTCAAGCCCCACTGCCTACAAGCAACAAGATGTTCAACAGCCGAAGGGAAGGCACCCCTGGCATCCTGGCTTCTTGAGTTATTTCGGTGCATGGTGGGTACATGTATTTAAGCACATGCCTGTGCAAATTAAAAAAATAAATAAATAAGCAATGGCAGTTTTGTCCCACAAGAAGGTTTCTAAAGCAAATATTGCAGAAGTCTGAAAAGAATTATATGGAGAAGTACCAACAGCAGCTGTGACCCGAGCCCCCCAAAAATGACATCAGATGCAGCCACAGCTTTGCTACTTTTGCTACCTGCTACTTTGCTACAATACACGTAATTCCCTCTTACATCTCACCTCGGCATGGGCGAGAGGAGCTGAACTGATGCGAGATTGTAAGCACATCTGTGCTTTTCTGAATGGAGTGTCTGTGTGAATTATTCAAGTACCCAAACACTGTTGCAGACTGATACAGTAGAAAGAACTCCCTATCGCCAGACTAAGTAGGAAACAATGAGAAATTTCTTGCAAGGTTATATTCAAAAAACATTTTTATGAAGACACATTTTATCAGCTTCATAACAAATACAACAATAGCCAAAGTCCATAGGGGAATTGTGGTAGAAACAGAAATATTTTTATTCTGCAAGTTCTTACCAACTAATATTGTGCCACTGTTAAGTGATTTGCATGCCAGCAAGACCAGGAAGCCAAAACCCCTATGCATCTGAATTTTCCTTTTCCTCTACCCTTAATTTCCACCAAATAACGGGGACTAAGAATCTTTCCAGTTCCATGATGCAGCAGGACCACGTCTTTAATTTTGACATGCCTTGCAGTTTGGATTTTGAGAATATGGTGTCATGTGAGAGATTTTTTTTCCAGAGTTTATTCACATAAAGACTCTGACTTTTTAGGAGGAAACATGACTTCAAGGTATTTGTCAAATGCTACTTTAAAAAGTTTTTAAATATTTAGGGATAGGTTTTTTATTTGTATTTTTTAAAGATTATTCTTATAGAAAAGAAAAAGTGCCACTTTCTCATTTATTTTGTGTGACAACACTTAAGCAGAGGGCTGTGCACCTGACATGTCCATGGCCTCAGAGAACCCTTTCTCATTAACCTGCTGACATCTACAAACATTAACTGAGTCAAAGTCCTCACAGGCAGAATTCTGAATCATGCCCCTTGCTTCCTGCCTCACATAGCTATGTGCAGAAGCATTGTTTTTCCTTATGCCATACCTTTGTTTCTTTAGGAAGCAATAAAGTACATCTTCCGGGCCACTGTGGTATTAGAAACATTCATTACAATATGTCTTCCAAGTAATTCGAAGTCTTGAAATAAAGTATAAGCACACACACACATGCACGTACATTTGTGCACTACAACATGCACAGCATTTGCATGAAATGTTTTCAGAGATACATACCTCAATAATAGCACCACCAGGGAGCCTGAGGAAATGGCGGTAAAGCTCTCGGAACCCACTGGGATAAACGGTGTATACGGATACGTGAGAAGTAATATCTCCTGGACCACTTGCAGACTCAGAGATGTTTTGTAGATGTTGCGGGTCACAGCTGGAGATGCCGGACTTGACAGCATGGCTTTTCCAGGTATAATCATACACTGCCACCTAGTGAGACACCCCCCCAACCCCCCAGCCCCCAAAATGAAGAGAAAAAATTAATTAACTTCTGGCAAGAACATAACAAATTTTAAATGATTTTACAATAAATCTGAAACTCTCTGCCATCTGCAGTGCCTGAACTCCATTCCGTGCATATTTTTATGACATATATCTAAATAGTGAAGATAGAGAAATCCCCGGTGTGTGCTCCATAAAGTTAATTCTACACAGATGAATCTGTAATTGGTTCCCATATTAACCCATAGTAGGAAGATCAAGCAGGCTGCTACAATGGCAGTGTTGATTTTTTTTTTTAAAAAAGCTTCCGAATGGTTTTATGAATGGGTGTTTGTGCTTTCCCGTCCAAAAGCGATCTTTGCTTTTTGTTCCTTATGGACAGTGTGCTAAGTGCTATGTCTCTGGTATCCTCCAAAGAGTGTACAAGATAAAATAAAGACACATTGTACTGAAACGCACGGGGAAGTCATTTCACACGCTGCATGTGTTCACCTACGGTTTTGCCTTCGTGGCAACCACAACTCTTGTTATACTTTACCGGACTTTATTGTCTAGGATGATTTCTCAAGTCATAACTCCATTGTTTAATAAAACGTACCCTGTGGGGCCTTTGTTAATGTAAGTTGACTTATGAATGACTTGAAAAGACATTGTTCTGTTGCTGGTTTAAAATACTGGTGACGAAAATTAGGCTATTCTGCTCTAAGATATTTTTGAGGTTAGCAAACATTATGGAATCTAGATATCTTTGTTATCTTTGACTATGACCACTGAACTATATAGATGTTTTCGGTTTCCAGTTTCTGTCGGTGTTGATGCCGGTAGTCTCTGAAATAGATGAAGGATTTGATGGGTTTCTTCCGTCACGGGCTCTTTCTGAGACAGAAAACATTTATCTGTTGTTGTACTAAATCTGTATCAAACATTTTCTCCAAAACCGACTCCTCTTAAAATGATTTATGAATACTTTTAAACCTCAGAAATATGGAAAGATTTAATAATATAAAAGAAAGTTCTGGCCAATTACTATTTAATTCAAGTCTATAATTGACAAATTCCCAAGATTCTAGCTAGTGAATTTTTTTTTCTTTGAAAATAAAAAGGCAAGATTAAAATCTGGATGAACAGGTAAAGAAGTAGTAAATACCCTGAAATGGCTTGAATTAGATAAAAGATCAAGGTTTAATATGATGAAAAACCAAAGTTAACTGAGGACCACGTTGTGTTAGGTTTTTGAGACAATATAAACATGCTTCAGGAACTTACCGTCTAGTGGGAATTCAAAGGACCTTACTGAGGAGGTGAGGTTTGAGTTGGGTCTCAAAACCTTAGTGAAATTTTGTTCTTTTTTGTTTTCTATTTTCAAATGACTTACTTATTTTAGCTATTTTATTTCTTTACTTTCTTTCTATTTTATTTTGTATTGGTTTCAGTACACAGTTCAGTGGTTAAACAATCATGTACTTTACAAAGTGTTCCCTTCAGTATTTCCATTACTCCAACTGGCACCATAAATAGTTATCGCCATATTATTGACTACATTCCCTTTGCTTTACTTACATCCTGTGACTATTCTGTAACTACCGATTTGTTCTTCTTAATCCCTTCACCTCTTGCACCTAGTCCATCAAACCTCCTCCCCTCTGGCACTCACCAGTTCGCTCTCTGTGTCTATAAATCTGTTTTAGTTTTGTTTGTTCATTTACTTTGTTCTTTAGATTCCATACCTAAGTGAAATCATATGGTATTTGTCTTTCTCTGACGGACATTTCACTCAGCATAATACCTTCTAGGTTCATCCACACTGTTGCAAATGGTAAGATTTCATGCTTCTCATGGCTGAGTAATACTCCATTTACCACCACTTGGCAGGTTTCAGAAGGTAAGAAGAGTCGTTAAGTGCTTCTGCAGGACAGCAGTGCTCACCCAGCACTGAGGTGCAAAGTGCACAGCAGCTCAAGGGCCAACGAAAGGTGCAGGGATCGAGGGAGAGATCAGAGGACCAGGGTGTGAGGCTGAACTATCATTTGGTATTGAGAAGATGCTGCACACTGTGCTAGGTATTTTGGATGGAATTCATCAAGGGGAGAAGCTGCTGACAGTTTTGACCAGAAGAGAGGCTTGATCTGACTTGTGTTCCAGAGCAATCGGTGAAGACAGTGTGAGAGTAGACCAGGAGATTGAGAGATTAGCAATAACCTCACCAAACACAGATGAAGAGATCCTGCATCTGAGCAGTGGGAGTTGGATTGGAGACAGTGTCAACACTATTTTTCTGAGGTAGAATCATTAGAATTTGGTTGCTCGCTAGGTACAAGCTGTGAATGAAAGAGGCACCTCAATGGTGACAAAAGCCTGAGAAACGACTGGCCAGTGAAGCCACCAAAATGGGACCATAGCAAGCAGCCAGGGCTGGTTTGAGGAGAGACGGTAATCAATTCAGCACTGACTATATCTGAAGAAGAGATTCATTGAACTACGGCAAAACTATGGGAACAACTATGGGAACATAAATACATTTATATATTTAATTCTTAATCCGTATGAAAGCCTAGGGAGCAGGTTAAATGACACGTCACATCCCCAGGTAAAATTAGCAGGTAGATGATGAAAAGATGTTTTGCAGGACCCTCGCAAAGTCTGTGCATTGGGGCAGGATCAGAACCGAGGCCGCCTAGCTCCCCACCCTGCATCCACAGCTCCAGGTCAGGTATTACGTGTGTCTCTTCTCTCTCCTTTGCAGTCAGCTCATTCACTGATGTCTCCCAGCCTCTGGATGTAAAAGGATAAACTTCAGGAAAATCACAGAAAAGGGAATGAGATGGGAACAACATGCTTTGCCCTGGAGAACCATGGGGTCTCTCCTCATTGCACGAAGCACTGGTGAGCCACGAGCCACGTGGCAGCTTGTTAGATGGGAGCCTCTCCGTCTTGGAGACGCCATAAAAAACAAACCTGGCTCGCCTCCCTGGACACCACCTCCATGTTCAAAGGACTATGAAGATGTATTTATTTGTCTGAAAAATGGCAACTTCTGTTTTCAAAGCTGATTTCTTTCGAAAGATAAGTGACCTTGACATTTGGGCAGTAAACTGTACAGAGTAGATTTTAAAAAATAATTCTTATCCACTTTGATATGTACTTCCTTCTTCCTCTCCTTTTTAACCACCTCTGGTTCTAGGAAAGGGAGGAGTGAATTGCCTCCAGCCCAGAGACATCTTTGATGGATTTTGATGAAGAAGCAGTGGCTGGACCAGAAAGGAAGTCAGCATTATTTAGCGGCAGGTCTCAAGGGGGGCAGTGAACACACACACGTAGACACACATGCACACACATGTGCACACACACACATTAATGTTTTCTTATTTAATATTGCAATTCTGTCAGATTGGTATTATTATTCCCATTTTGTAGATAAGAAAACTGAAGTTCAGACATGCTAAGTAACTTGCCCAAAGACACAGTTCTATGATGTTTACTAACAGATAATCCTTATCCCTTCAGCTTGCATTGCCCTACACTACTGGTTATCTGTCCCCAAGCTTTACTTACTCTCCCTGCTAGGGATTTTGAAACAAAAAATCAGAATAGTCCCCCTTACCCTTCCCACTGTTTTGTTTTTGTGGAGTTTCTGGTTTTGGTTTGGTTTTTGGGGGGTTTTTTGGTATCCACTCTACCCCCAGGAAGTGCCCATATGCTCTGCTTGTCCATAGTCTTGTTTTAATAAAAGCAGCCTCTTCTGAGATGGCTACAGCCCAGCTGTCTGTGGGAAGTCTTCTTCATTCTGGGGTGATGAGTTGCAAGCCCACTGGGCCACTGATTGACAGCCGCATCCTCCAAACAGCTTCCTCAGGAGTGAGGCTGACATTTTTGTTTCCTTTGGTCGGGTTCCTGTGTTTCATTAATTTCCTCAAATCGCCCAGGTGGGGAAGGGGCACATAGCATAGTAGTCCCCTGCGCTCCCAACAGTCACCAGGCAGGCCTGGTACGTGAGCCCAGGTGGGTCCAACTCTAGAGCCCAGGCAGTTTTGATTGTACTGTGTGGTGAACGTCCGGGCATATCCTACACTGCTGTCCTGTGCATGGCGTGGCCCGTCCGGTCATATCCTACACTGCTGTCCCTGTGCGCCGGCGTGGATGCAGAATGGGCTGCGTCTGGACGATGCTGGGTGCTGAACTTGCCGGTCAGTCAAGTGCTCATGTGGAAGAATCTGAGGGAAGATTCTTTTACCCTTGGTCTGAGCAGGAACTCTGGAATCATCCTTATTGACTCAAAAAGGGTACAGTGTAGTTTGTCATGAAAAACAGAAAAAGAGGCAGCATCAAAATTACCACAGGCATTTTGTTTTACTAAATGTCCCACAGAAGGTTCTCAAGGTTATTTGAATGGAAGATTAATTAGGAAAAATACAAGAATTTGTTCTTCTCCTCTTTTGGGGGATCATAAAGTTCTGATTCTAAAGCAATTTCCAGAATTTCTAGCTAGCAGCTCTTGAGATAGTTGGGATAATCGAACACTATCAACAATAAAACTTGTGGATCAAGCTAAATCCTATTGTTTTGCTGTATGAGTACCCACCCCCTTTTAGAAAAGATGATAGAACCCAATAGAAGTGAGGGTGAATGACCCATAAAACCTCACAGAAATCATTAAGTATATGAACCAGATGCTCACGCAGAAGAGAGTATCTTTGGTTACCTGCTAATATATTGAACATTCTCCCATTGGCCATGAACACATTCTACCCTACGGGTAATTGCTTTATATTCTGACTTACAACCAAAGACAGCCTGAAGCAATTGGGGATGCTTAGCATTGAAACCTTCTTAAAATCCTCCCTAGGGTTAAGAAAGTAGGGCAAGGTAAAAAAAAAAAAAAAAAAAAAAAAGAAGAAGAACATGGTTGTTTTATAACAGGAACTAAACCTGAAGAGAGGCAGATCAGAGGATGGAGTGGAGGTAAGAGATGATGAAGAAATCACCATTCA